TCACCTCAGCCTCCCAAAGGCGCGGGATTACAGGCTGAGCCACTGAGCCCGGCTGGGAAGCTTATCTTAAGGGAAGAAAAATAGAATCAGTGGAGGTTTAGTTTACACTTTTTATTTTGAAATGAGGGTAGATCCATAGGAAGTTGCAAAAACAGGACACCCTTTACCCTGTTTACCCCAACGGTAGCATCTCTCATTACTGTAGGACAATATCAAAACTAGGAGACACAACACACAGATTTCATCAGTTTTACCTGTACTCCTGTGTGAGTCTGTGCAGTGTAATCATATGTCTTAATTTGTGTAACCACCACCACAGTTAAGATACAGAAATATCCCATGACCACAAGATATCCCTCGTGTTACCTTTCCCTTTGCATTGACACTCTTTGTCTCCACCCTTCCTAACCCTTCAACCACTAATCTGCTCTTGGTCACTATGGTTTTGCCACTTTGAGACTGGTATACAAATGGAATCATACCGTCGGTAGCCTTTTGAGATTGGATTTTTTTGCACAGGGTAATGTCCTTGAGATACATCCAAGGTGTTGCCTATATTGGTAGTGGGGTTTTTTGTGTGTGGTTTTTTGAGTCAAAATCTCCGTTACCCAGGCTAGAGTGCAGTGGCACACTCATGGCCACCACAGGCTTGACCTGTTGGGCTCAGGTGATCCTTCCACCTCAGCCTTTCAAGGAGCTGGAACTACAGGCATGCATCATCACACCTAGCTAATTTTTTCATTTATTGTAGAGATGAGGTCTTGTCATGTTGCCCAGGCTGGTCTTGAACCCCTGGGCTCAGGCAGTCCTCTCACCTCAGCCTCCCAAAGTGCTGGGATTATAGGCTTGAGCCACTGCGCCCGGCCTGTGATTAGTTTTTAAAGAAACCTCCATATTCTTCCAAAGTGGTTGTACTATTTTACATTCCCACCAGCTATGTATGAGTAATCCAGTTTCTCCTCATTCTCACCAGCATTTAGTGTTACCACTTTTTTTGTTCTAGTCATACTGATAGAGATGCAGTGATATCTCATTCTGGTTTTGATTTACATTTCTTGGAGGTAATGGTGCTGAATATCCTTTCCTGTGCCTATTGCCATCTGTATATCCTTTTTGGTGAATTGTGTATTCATATCTTTTACCCATTTTCTAAATGGCTTGTTTGTTTAGAGAGTTCTTTATATATTGAGTCCTTTGTGAGATATGCAGTTGCTAGTATTTTCTTTCAATCTCTTGGTGGTCTTTTCATTCTCTTAACTGGGTCTTTTGCAGAGCGGAAGTTTTAAATTTTAGTGACATCCATCTTATCTTTTTTTTTTTTTTTTTTTTTTTGAGTTGGAGTCTCACTCTGTTGCCCAGACTTGAGTGCAGTGGCATGCTCCCAGCCACTGCAGCTCGACCTGCTGGGCTCTGGCGATCCTTCCGCCTTACCCTTCCAAGTAGCTGGAACTACAGGCACACGCTACCACGCCCAGCTAATTTTTTGATTTATTGTAGAGATGAGGTCTCACCAAGTTGCCCAGGCGGGTCTCAAACCCACAGGCTCAGGCAGTTCACTCACCTTGGCCTCCCAAAGTGCGGGATTACAGGCTGAGCCACTGAGCCCGGCCTACTGTGTGCTTCTAAAGAGGCCTCTGAGAAATACCATTTTGAAATATTTATGGATGGAATATGTAATGTTTAGGATTTGCATCAAAATAATATAATACAAGAGGGTATGAAATAAGTAAGGTATAGAGAAAGCAACATGCACTATGAGCCCATAGTTATTGAAGCTGGGTGATGTGTTTGTGGGGCTTAATTGTACTATTCTGTCTATCTTTGTGTAATAAAAAGCTTTTAAAAAGTTACCTGTTAAACTACTCATTGATGTTGACTTGAGGTTAAAATGAGTTATAGAGAAGATGTTCCCTTCTGCCTCCATGCTTAGCTTGACCTACAAATGTCCTCCAGTGTTCACCTGATACTCTTGTTTTGGGCATCTTTCCCCATAGTGGATGCTTGGAGAGCTCAGCTTTATTTTGTGTCACTGTATAGAATAGTGATTCTTCAGGTTTGAGGAGGGAAAGTGAACAGTGACATATGTACTTGGAAAAAGCATATTCAGTATGATAGTTTTATGTTTGAAAATAGAAAGTGCATTGGTGGTTGTAATATAATCTGCAAAATCAAGAGCCAAGTAAAATTTCTTGGCTGGGAAGATACTACTCTCAGTGGAAAGTCTACCTTATCATAAGGTTTTATGTTATATTGTATCAAAAGGCAGCAAGGATGAGAAACACTATTAACTTTTCTCAATTTCACATGGGACAAAAGAAAAAAGAAACATTATTTTAGAAGTTAAGACTGGCTAGCATGGTGGCTCACACCTATAATCCCAGCACTATGGGAGGCTGAGGTGAGAGGATTGCCTGAACCCCACAGGTTCGAGACCAGCCTGGGCAACTTGGCGAACCCTCATCTCTACAGTAAATCAAAAAATTATCGGGGTATGGTGGTGTGTGCCTGTGGTTCCAGCTACAGAAAACTGAGGCGGAAGGATTGCTTGAGCCAAGCAGGTCAAGGCTGCGGTGGCTGTGGTGTACCACTGCCTCCAGCATAGGCAACAGAGTGATACTACCTCAAAAAAAAAAAAAAAAAAGTCAAGACCACCCCTGCAAAGTGCTAAGGTTACACTAGAAGAGTTCAAAAGCAAAGCATAGCATCACAGCTGAACTTGAAAGTAAGAAACAAAAGCAGTATGAGAGATAATTCGCCAGGTGCAATGTCTCATGCCTGTAATCCCAGCACTTTGGGAGGTGGAGGCAAGAGTATGACCTGAGCCCAGGGGTTTGAGACCAGCCTGGGCAATATGACGAGACCTTGTCTCTGCAATACATCAAAAAATTAGCCGGGCATGGTGGTACACGCCTATGGTTCCAGCTGCTTAGAAGGCTGAGACGGAAGGATCACCTGAGCCCATCAGGTCAAGACTGTGGTGGCCGTGAGCATCTCACTGCACTCCAGCTTAGGTGACAGAGTGAGACTCTGACTCAAAAAGCCAAAATAATAATACAGTGTAGCAACTATTCACATAGCATTTACATGGTATTAGGTATTATAAGTAATCCAGAGATGACTTAAAGTGTATGGGAGGATGTGTGTAGATAGTATTCAAATACTGTGCCATTTCATATAGGAGACTTGAGCATTGGTGGATTTTGGTATTTGTGGGCATACTGGAGCTGGTCCCTGAGGGATGATGTTGTATAAAATGTGGTTAAGCCATACACATACAGATATCTTAAATTTTTGTGAATATTTTGAACTCCTGCCTTAGTGGAAGATTATGGAGATTTTGGAAATTAAGATGCTCAACAATAGTTATCCTTCGGGTATTTTTTAAAAGCCAAGTTTTTAGATTTGATAAAATACCTGTTTATTGTGAAAGTTGTATAAGGGGTCAATAGCTGTAAGTTAGTGTAAGCAACTATAATTGAATATGAGTGTTTTACCTTTTATCTATTGAAATGCATGTTTTAAAAACCTTCTTATGTGGTGAGATGGCCCATGCCTGCAATCCCAGCACTCTGGAGGCCAATGCAGGATGATTGCTTGAGCCCTGGAGTTCAAGACCAGCCTAGGCAACATAGTGAGACCTCATCTCTGCAAAAAAATCTCAACATTAGCTGGGCGTGATGACACACACCTGTAGTCCCAGCTACTCTGGAGGTTAAGGTGGAAGGATCACCTGAGTCCAAGAGGTCAGGGCTGCAGTGAGCTATGATCGTGCCACTGCATGAGAGAGTGAGACCTTGATTCAAAAAAACCAAAACCAAAACCTGTTTAAAGCCTTGGACTTTCATGTACATTCTGGTCATACTAGTCATTTTTTATTTTTATTATTTGAGTTGGTTTCTCACTCTGTCACCCAGGCTGGTGTGCAGTGGCACACTCATGCCCACCACAGCCTTGACTTGCTGGGCCCAGGTGATCCTTCCACCTCAGCCTTCCAAGTAACTGGAACTACAGGCATGTGCCACCACACCTGGCTTATTTTTTGATATATTGTAGAGACGAGGTTTTGCCAAGTTGTCCAGGCTGGAAGAACATTGTTATTATTATTTTGTGTTGGGAGTCTCCCTCTGTCACCTAGGCTGGAGGGCACTGGCATACTCACAGCCACTGCAGCGATCCTTCCACCTCAGCCTTCCAAGTAGCTGGAACTACAGGCACACGCCACCAAGCTCAGTTAACTTTTGATTTATTGTAGAGAAGAGGTCTTACCAAGTCCCCCAGGCTGGTCTCAAATCCCTGGACTCAGGCAGTCCTCTCTACTTGGCGTCCCAAAGTGCTGGTTTTATAGGTTTGACTAGCCTCACACATACCCTTTGCCAACCATTTTATCCAGCTAGCTAACGTTGCTGCAGGAGAGAACCACCTGTTTTGTTTTGTTTTGTTTTTTGAGTTGGAGTCTCACTCTGCCACCCAGGCTGGAGTTCAGTGGCACACTAACGGCCACCCCAGCATTGACTTGCTGGGCTCCAGCAATCCTTCCACTTCAGCCTTTGAAGTAGCCAGAACTGCAGGTGTGCGCTACCATGCCTGGCTAATATTTATTGTAGAGACAAGGTCTCGCCAAGTTGTCCAGGCTAGTCTCGAACCCGTGGGCTCAGGCAATCCACTCGCCCCGGCTTCCCAAAGTGCAGGGATTACAGACTGAGCCACCAAGCCAGTTTGAGAATGACTTGAACACCACCTGGAGGCTCTCCCTGTTCAAATTATGAAGCTCATGCACTAAAGGACAGAACTTTATGCACTTGTGACCTCCAAATTAATTTAAGATGCAGTATTTGATTTATCAAGCTTACATGTTCATCTCTAGTTGTTTAGGAACTGTTTCTGGTTCCAGATGTGGTGGCAGCTATAATCCTATTGCTGTGTTTCTGCTAAGATTTTGAAATAAAAACTTAGTTCATTTTTCAAAGAAAGGGCCTAATCTCTGAAATTTCCTTCACTTTATTGTTCCTAGAAGACCTAGGTTTGTTAACCATAACGTCAGTGCTAATGGTAATCTTTTAAGCCTCTCATTGTAGAGTTAGATCAATTATACATGCCCTTTCTAATTTTGTAAATGGTTGGGTAATCAGGGATTTTCATGGCTAAGATTGTGGGTTTGAGTTCATTTTTGGACCAATTATTACCCTAAGATTTGATGTTCCCATGTTGTTTCCGTCTCACCAGAAAAAAAAAAAAGTATAGATTCTTACACTGTAAGTTGTTAAAGATTTAATGTGTTAGCCTATTCTCAAGAATACTACATTTGAATTTTAAAAGATGGGTGGTAGAAAAGTATGATGCTTAACAGAAAGTACATTCATGCACCCAATAACGTTTTTTGGTCAACCATAGACCATGCATACGATAACTGTCCTGTGAGATAATAATACTATGTCTTTTCTGTATCTTTTCTATATTTGTATTTAAACACACAGATGCTTACCATTGTGTTAGTTATCTACAGTATTCAGTACAGTAATGGTCTCTACTGGTTTGTAGCCTAGGAACAATTGGCTATACCATACGGCCTACGTATGCAGTGGGCTTCTAGGTTTGTGTAAGTACATTCTGTAATATTCGCAGACCCACAGAATTGCCCAAGGACTCAATTTCTTAGAATATATCCCTATGGTTAAGAGATATATGACTGTAATCACTTATATATCCAGCCTAGCCAGGGTACTGTGGAGACAAAGAGTAGATTGGACAACAGCCATCCTGCTGCTTGTAGACCAGAGCTGGTTATGCTACTGACCAGCAATGTGTGAAACTTTTGAAAATTTTTTAAATGAAGGTTTTTAAAATGTATGGGAAGCCAGAGAGCCCAAAGACCAATATAGGTTTAATTTTAGTGATTGTAAATTAATAGCTTAATTGTCAGTTGATGAAAATTATGTATGTGAAATTTGGTGAGGTCTGCTGTAAACATGCATTACTTTAAAGGTGACTTTCTCTTGAAGCTCATTTGACATCATCATAGTTGGTGGTGGAATTGTGGGACTTGCCTCGGCTAGAGCACTCATCCTACGACATCCAGCACTTTCGATTGGCATTCTGGAAAAGGAGAAAGATTTAGGTATGTATGTTATCAGTGTTGCTCTTTGAATTGACTTGGGCACGTTCTTATTCTGTCAGTTTTGAATCTTTCGTGCTGAACACCAGCATTAGTATCTTAATTTGAGTTCTCCTGAAAGCAGAGCATGGGACGAGGACTTGGATACAGGTGATTTATCTGAGAGGTTGTCTGGAGAGACAGGAGTAAGGGGGTGGGGAGAGTCGTCAGAGAAGGAGAGAGACTACAGGAGGGCGCATGAGGGTGCTCTTGGGAGCTCTGAGGACCAATATAATGTTTCCCAGGATTGTGCTCATGTAGCCATCAGCTCCTGTCTCTCTTGATCGAGGGTGCTGCTAGTGATGTAAGTGTGCCTACCCCCACCCCCAAAAGTTACCAAAGGCCCTTTGAGCACAGTGCAGAGAGCCCCGAAGGGTTTGCTGGTTGTGAGAGATGAGGGTTTATGCACCAAAGTTGAAATCACAGATTGGCTGGAGGGATGTGACATGGATATCAGGGATGGCTGCTAGAGGAAGTTACCAGTGATCTGAACAGATTCAGGCAATTCAGAATTTTAAATGATGTGGTCTCCAAGAGCCTTGTTCAACTGAACATTTGTTCTCTTACCTCTTATGTTTTGTGTAAATTGTGTACTTTCTTTTACTCTATTTCTCTTCTTTTGTAGCTGTTCATCAGACTGGACATAACAGTGGTGTCATACATAGCGGAATTTATTATAAACCCCAGTCTCTAAAAGCCAAATTATGTGTACAAGGCGCAGCTCTCATCTATGAGTACTGTAACAAAAAGGGAATTTCCTACAAGCAATGTGGCAAGGTATGACATTTTACAAGCGCCTTGACTTATTCATAACTAGCATTTTTCCAGTGATGTTTAACACTGAATTTTAAAAAATACCTGGCATTTTCTTCCTTTGTTTCTATGTGATTTGTGAAATCTAACATTAGGAAATAACTGTTAAAAAAATGATGGTGTGACTTGCTCCATGTAATTTTCTAAATAAAAGTTTTATTGACATATAATTTATACACCATATAATTCACCCTTTTAAAGTGTGTGGTTCAGCTTTTACTCTACTCACAGAGTTGTGCAGCCATCACAGCTATCTAATTTTAGACTGTTTTCATCACCCCAAAAGGAAATCCCATACCCCTTAGCAGTCACTCCACATTCCCACCTCCCCTACCTTCTAGCACCACTAACATACTTTTCTTCTCTGTTAATTTGCCTATTCTGAACTTTTTGTATAAATAGAATCATATGATATGTGGTCTTTTGTGACTGGCTTCTTTCACTTAGCATAATGCTTTCAAAGTTCACCCATCTCATATGAATCAGTACTTCATTCTTTTTTAGGATGAACAATATTCCATTGTGTTGATATACCACATTTCATCTGTTCATCAGTTGATAGACATGAATTGTTTCCACTTTTGACTGTTAAGAATAATGCTGTGGACATTTGTGTGAACATACGCTTTCATTTATCTTGGGTGTATACCAGGAAGTATAATTGCTGGGTTATTTGGTAACTCTATGTGTAACATTTTGAGGAACTGTCAGACTGTTTTTCAGAATTCTGTACTATTTTGCATTCCCACCAGTAATTAATGAGGATTCCAGTTTCTCCATATCCTTGTCAACACCTGCTATTGTCTGTCTGTCTTTATTTTTAGCTATCCTAGTATGAATGTGAAGTAGTATCTCAGTTTTGATCTGCGTTTCCCTAGTGATTAATGCTGTTAAGTGTCTTTTCTATTTTTCTTTATAACAATTATTTTTAATTGACAAACATTGTATATATTTATCACAATGTATATATTTTATAATATATATACACTGTGGAAGGGCTACATCAAGCTAACCAGCATATGCATAACCTCACATACTTGTTTTTGGTTTTGTTTGTTTTGAGTTGGAGTTTCACTGTCGCCTAGACTGGAGTGTGGTGGCATGCTCCCGGCCACTGCAACCTTGACCTATTGGGTTCCAGTGATCCTTCCACCTCAGCCTTCCAAGTAGCTGGAACTACAGGCATGTGCCACCACACCTGGCTAATTTTTTGGTTTATTGTAGAGACAAGGTCTTACGAAGTTGCCTGGGTGGGTCTCGAACTTGCAGCCTCAGGCAGTCTACTCGCCTTGGCCTCCCAAACTGCTGGGATTACAAGCTGAGCCACCGAGCCTGGCCACTCTCTACTTTTATGACAGAATTTTCTTCTTTTTTTAAGACTGAATAGAAATTTATTGTGCATATATACCACATTTTCTTTATCCATTCATCTGTTATTTTTTTCTTTTTGAGTTGTAGTCTCACTCTGTCACCCAGGCTGAAGTGCAGGGCCACACTAACGGCCACCGCAGCCTTGATCTCCTGGGCTCAGGTGATCCTTCTGCCTCAGCCTTCCAAGTAGCTGGAACTACAGGCACATGCCACCATGCCCAGCTAGTTTTTAAAATTTATTGTAGAGGTGAGATCTCTCCATGTTGCCCAGGCTGATTTCAAACCTGTGGCTCAGGCAATTCTTTTGCTTTGGCTTCCCAAAGTGCTGGGATTACAGGCGTGAGCCGCTGCGCCCAGCTGTCTATTCATGGACATTTAGGTTGATTTCTTATCTTGGCTATTGTGAATAATGCTACAACAATCATGGGAATTCATGTATCTCTTTGACATACTGACTTTATTTTCTTTGGATATATACCCAGTAGTGGGATTGCTGGATTTATGTTGAATGTCTTTTTATGTGCTTATTGGCTTTTCTTGTGGTTTCTTTTGAGAAATGTTTTACCTTCTTATTGTTTAGTTGTGTATATTCTTTATTTATTCTGGGTATAGTATGTCAGTTTTATGATTTGGAAAATTTTATACCATTCTGAAAGCTTTCTTTTATACTTCCTTGACGGTGTCCTTTGAAGCACTAAAGTTCTAAATTTTGATGTTCGCTTTATCTTTTTTGTTGTTGTCACTTATACTTTTTAGTATGATATCTAAGAAATCATTGCCTAACACTGCATCATAAGGATTTTCTCCTATGTTTTCCTCTAAGAGTTTTGTAACCTTAGCTTTTCCATTTAGATCTATGATCACTTTTGAATTAATTTTGACATATGGTATGAGGAAGGGGTTCAACTTCATTCTTTTGCGTGTGGGTATCTAGTTGTCTCAGCATCATTTGTTGAAAAGACTATTCTTTCTATATTAATTGTTTTGTTACTCTTATTAAAAAATCAGTAGGGTATAAATGTTTATGGTTTCTCAATTCTATTTTATTGACATATGTCTACCTTTATCCCAGAATAGGAAATGTGAGTCCTCTAACTTTGTTCTTCTTTTTCAAGGTGGATTTTGCTGTTCCATTTCCAAAAGGCAGCTAGAATTTTAAAAGGGATTGTGCTAAATCTATAGATAAATTTGGGGACTATTGCTATCTTAACATTGTTAAATCTAGCAATCCATGAATATGTGATTTCTTTCCATTTATTTAGACCTTCTGTAATTTCTTTCAGCAATGTTATGTCATTTTCAATGTATAAGTCTTATACTTCTTTTAAAAAACTTATTTCTTGGTATTTTATTCTATATAATGTTTTTTGAAGGGAACTGTTTTCTTAATTTTATTTTTGGCTGTTTGGTGCTAATGTGTACAATATGGCTGACTTTTGTTTATTGAGTTTTGTTTTATTTTGTTTTTTTGCTTTGAAAGTCTTTCATAATTGAGTTTATTGGTTGTGTTGAGGATCAGTACACAGACATTTCAATTTGTACACAGTTCTTAGCATATGTACCAAAAATCAAAAAAGCCATGTATCGTTATTTTTAAAAAGTTATTCCAGTGACTTTCAGCTTAAAATTTGGAGGCAAATTTTCCTTAAAAGAATATCAAGTACCAGTATCTTCAAATGTTGTAAGCTGTTACATACATCCCACCAATTCACAATTTATCATATATACAACATACTCAATTTTTCCATCTTTCACAGCATATTAGCAAAGTTATTAGGAAAACAGGACTTCCACAACCAAAGACGTTACAGAGTGCACACAATTCTGACTGGGAGAGCCATGATCAAGGAGTGGTTTTCTTTAGAAAACAATTCTACTAAAAAGCAACATGGGAATAGAAGTAACTTTAAATGTTCAAGACATTAAATGCAGGACTGTGATCCATATTGCCACTTAGTATACTTTGCATTACAGGATATAAAAACTAACCCCCTTAACTGGGCGTGGTAGCGCGCGCCTGTAGTTCCAGCTACTTGGAAGGCTGAGGCGGAAGGTTCATCGGAGCCCAGCAGGTCGAGGCTGCGGTGACCAGGAGCGGCCACTGCACTCCAGTCTGGGCGACGGAGTGAGACTTCAACTCAAAAAGAAAAAAAAAAAACCTAACCCCCCCATCTATGGAATGTTAAGCAGACACCCAAGAAACTCAAAGCCTCCCATAATTCAATATCCCACACTATTTTCTGATTGTACCAAAAAATAAACAGCGAATGATTTCACCTCTTAGAAAAAAGCATTTACACTTTAAAAATGGGATGAGGTAGGATCCCCTCCTTCTTAAAAATGTTTCTAGAGCTACTAAAAAACTTGCATTTACAAAATAATTGACAAAAATATTCCTCTGGATTGTACAAGAAGGGAGACAGAGACCACTGATAAGACAAGCGATATAGTATTATTCAGACTTGGCTTCTTTCTCTCCTGCTTCATCAGAGGCTGGATTCTCCTCGGTTTTAGTTTCTCCATTTTCTGCAGGTAACTCTTCTTTTGTTTCTTCTTTTGTTTCTTGGTTAGCCACTTCAGCCTGCTTTCCCTTCACTCGCCTTTTCCCTTTTGCTTGCACTTTTTAAAGATTTACCCATCCCGCCACCTTTTCTGGCTTCGCTTCCACTTTTGCAGGAGCAGGTTTAGCCGTCAACTGCGCCCATCTCCCGGTAGGCTCCTCCAGCACAGGCTGGGTGCCTGCCAGGTGCCTGCAGGCAGCGGCGTGCAAAGAGCCTCTGGGGAGCTGGTCGCCTGGCCGCTACTGCTCCTCTGCTGCCCGAGCTGCTAAGACCCGCGGCGGTTGTGTATTGAGTTTTTAATCCTGCAAATCTTGAACTCATTTGTTAGTTCTGTGTGTGTGTGTGTGTGTGTGTGTGTGTGTGTGTGTGTGAATTCCTTAGGCGTTTAAGCTTTCTTTTATGTAGGATCATGTCATCTGCAAATAAATTTTACTTCTTTACTAATTTTTATGCTTTTAATGTATTTATTGTCCTTGCCTAGTTACCATGGGTGGAGCAGCCGATGCAGTGTTAAGCAGAAGTAGTAAAAGTGGACATTCTTGTGTTGTGGTTTGTTTTTAGCATACTGACTTTCTTGTTTTATTATGTATGTAGAACATTAAAAGAAAACATACGAGCCGGGCTCGGTGGCTCAGCCTGTAATCCCACGCCTTTGGGAGGCTGAGGTGAGTGGATTGCCTGAACCCGCGGGTTCGAGACCCGCCTGGGCAGCGAGATCTCATCTCTACTACAATAAATCAAAAAATCAGCCAGGCATGGTAGCGCATGCCTGTAATTCCGGCTACTCGGAAGGCTGAGGCGGAAGGATCACCCGAG